TTATTTTATGCACCATGTCCCCTTACTACGACTTTGAAATACCATAAAAATAATAATGAGAGGACAGTAATTGACGTGGAGTCAAGTCAGCAGTTTAGAGAACAATGATCTCTCATTGGCTGAGATGTGTATGTAGTCAGAATACATCTAATAAAGAGGTTGCTTTGTAAGAGAGAGCATGGCTTGACAGGTCTAACAGATCAGGAGCTTGTTATTGCAGGCATTTCTGTTTTATACAACCCTTATGTTGGGAAGTTAAGCCTCTCCCCTTCATGAAGATCCAATAATTAGACCTCAATGACGAAGGATCTCCATGTCTGTGTTCTATCCTTCAGGTGATGTGATAATTTCATGGAAAGTGGGATACGTGGACTTTCAAAGATTTTTGGTATATTTAACATCAGCTGTCATTTTGACTTGTTTCATATGGAATTTATTTTATGTCTCTTATTACTGATTCACTTCTCTATGATTCTCACATATTCTCCCCTGAGACTTACAGTTAAGTCTGGAAATATTTGGACACTGACACAATTTTCATAATTTTGGCTCTGTACACCACCACATTTGGATCTGAATTGAAACAACTGAGATGCAATTGAAGTGCAAACTTTCAGCTTTGTTTCGAGGGGTTGAACAAAAATATTGTTTGAAACGCTTGGGAATTGCAAACATTGTCATACACAGTACCCTTACTTCAGTGGCTCAATGTAATTGTATAAATTAAAACAATCATATATAAAATGTTAATTTTTAATAAGTTGTCAATAATTCTTTGTAAATATGATTGCTTAAAGTTTGGTATGCATGGACATCACCCAATGCTGGGTTTCCTCCTTTGTGATTCTTTGCCAGGCCTTTACTGCAGCTGTCTTCAGTTGTTTGTTCATGGGTTTTTCTGCCTTAATTTTGTCTTTAGCAACTGAAACACATGCTCGATCGTGTTGATGTCAGGTGATTGACTTGGCCATTGCAGAATATTCCACTTCTTTGGCTTAAAAATATACTGGGTTGTTTTCCCAGTATGGTATGGGTCCTTGCCCATCTGTAAAGTGATACGCTGTCCAATCAATTTTGCTGAATCTGAGCAGACACTATATCCCTATACACTTCAGAATTCATACAACTGCTGTTGTCTTTTGTCACATCATCAATAAACACTAATGACCTAGTGCCGTTGGAAGCCATGCATGCCCATGCCATCACACTGCCTCCACCGTGTTTTGCAGATCATGTGTTATGTTTCAGATCCTGAACCAATCCAAGACTTCTCTATACTTTTTTATTCCCAACATTCCGGTACAGGATGGTCTTAGTTTCATCTGTCCAAAAAAAAATGCTGTCCATAACGTGGCTTTTTAAAAAAAAAAAATTTTTTGGCAAAGTTTATTCTGGCCTTTCCATTTGCACCATGTGGTGAAACCTCTGTATTTGCGCTTGTGAAGTCTTATCTTTATAGTAGACTTGGATAATGATGTGACTACCCCCTGGAGAGTGTTCTTTGTTCTGAAGAGGTTTTCTTTTTGGAATGGATCTCGTGATAATCAACCCATGGAATGGATCTTATGATAATCAACCACTGTGGTTTTTCGTGGACATCCAGGCCTTTTTGTGTTGCAGAGCTCACCAGTGCACTCAATTGTTCTCAGAATGTATCAATCAGATGATTTGCCCACTCCTAAAGTTCCTGCTATGTCTCTGTTGGATTTTATATATATATTTTTTTAAATTTGGAATTTTTTATTGATTTTCTTGGGGTACAGAATAAAGAAGAGGGGGAGTGTGGGGTAAAGTGCACTTGTCGCTCATAACAGTATCGGTGATGATAGTATTCACATCTTGCACAATAAGGACATTACATTCATGACCTTTAAGTGATTGGCAGTAACTTGGTTTCCAGCATTTCATTCTGATTTCTTAAGCTAAGCCTTGGCAAGAAGGAGTGGGCTGCCCAGCTGCCATTGTCACCTGGTCCCCTGGGTAGCTCCGTCATGATAGTTTGCTGTCTTGTACCTCTACTCGGGGTTTATGAGCTACTTCTTTCCTGTCATTATGCAAGACTTGCGTCTGTGTAAAACTATGTACATGTGGGTGGGAGCCTCGGCATGATAATGGTGTGTAAGATACTTGTGTATTAGGTGGTATTTAGTAGAAAAGAGGCATCTTGGTTTCGCTAGTGGAGCTGACTATCCCTGGGTATGGCTTAGCCACCTGCACGTTCTTTTCGGAAACCCTCTAGTGAGGTAAAGGGCCACCGTCAACACTTCCGAGGTGGGACCTGTGCAGGTGTTCAGGCAGGGTGTACAGGAAGTTGCCTTGGTTCTTGGGTATGCGTTTGGGTGTCCCCAGAGGTATTGTATGTATACCATTTAGGAAGCCTGGTTCGTACCCACCTGGACTTCTCTTGTCTCCCCGATCTCATCTAGGCCTCCTGAGTGCTGCAATAAGCACGTGGTATAGTCATTGATATCTAAAAACAGCAATGCTAACGTGGGGTTGAGCTTCATATGTGTGTCTAATAGTTCTGACAGTGTGCTCTCAACCATCGCCCAAAAAGGTTGTATGCCGGGACATGTCCACCATATGTGGTACATAGTGCCAGGTTCTGCGTGGCATCTCCAGCAATTGTTTGATGTCCCTGGGTATATGTGTGGTAGTCTTGATGGTACCATGTACTACCTGTAGTAAATTTTTCTCATAAGCTCTAGATGGGATGTACATAGTGTTCTGTCTTTATGAGCTTGGAGCGCCGTACGGGGTTATGTCCGTTTTGAGGTTTGCCACAGTGTCCGGTATTTTTGTGAGTCCCTGTGGTGTGTTTTGTTTAGTAGTTTGTAAATGCTGGAAAGCGCTTTTTTGGGGTTATGCTCTGTCGTGCATGCTCGCTCAAAGTGTGTAAGTGTTGGAGTGGAGACTCTACCTTCGTTAGAACTAGATAGCATCGATTTAAGTTGGAGGTAGGAGAAAAGTGCTCTGGGGGGCAAGTTATACGTGGTTTGCAGGTCTGGGAATGCTCGTTTACTAGTTTACCCTTAAGGAATAGATGATGTATGTGAGTGTATCTGTTTCCTTTCCATGGGTGGTAATTAAAGGAGGTTTAGTACTTGTATACTCCTCAGAGGAGCGGCCTGCGACCTCAGGTCACCACCGCATAAAAGAAGTCCTGCCCCATCCCGCACCAGCGTTCTTGTGGTGGGAAGCATGTTTACTCTTTTCTGGCCTTAGGAGGTAGTGGAGAGTTGGTACTTGTGCCCAGTATGATTCTATAGCTATCCACTGTGTAGGATCCCTGTGAACGTGTGCGCCCACCCCTGAGGAAACTAACGCCGCCTGGTAGTAAAGCTTGAGGTTTGGCAGGCTAAGGCCGCCTTCCTCCACTGGGCCATGAAGGATTCTAGTGGCAATCCTCGCCCTCTTTCCCTCCCATATAAATTGCATCAAAAGTTTCTGTGTAGTGTTGATATAAGATTGTGGGATGTGAATTTGAAGGGTACGGAACAGGTATTGAAGCTTTGGTAAAAGGAGCATCTTTACTGCTGCCATCTGACCCAGCCACGATATAGTTACATAGTTACATAGTTACATAGTTACATAGCTGAAAAGAGACTTGCGTCCATCAAGTTCAGCCTACCTCACATTTGTTTTTTGCTGTTGATCCAAAAGAAGGCAAAAAAAACCAGTTTGAAGTACAATTTTGCAACAAGCTAGGAAAAAAATTCCTTCTTGACCCCAGAATGGCAGTCAGATTTATCCCTGGATCAAGCAGTTATTACCCTACATTGAAAGATTATATCCTTGAATATTCTGTTCTTGCAAGTATGCATCTAGTAGCCGTTTGAACATCTGTATGGACTCTGATAAAACCAATTCTTCAGGCAGAGAATTCCACATCCTGATTGTTCTTACAGTAAAAAAACCTTTCCTTTGCCTTAGACAAAATTTTCTTTCTTCCAGTCTAAACGCATGGCCTCGTGTCCTATGTAAAGTCTGGTTTGTGAATAGATTTCCACACAATGGTTTGTATTGGCCCCAAATATATGTATTTCCCCTCCCATTACTTTAGGGTCGCTTCTATGTCCTTGCGTAGCCTAATGTAATTAAGGTGGAACAGATTGTCTGGATTTTGGGGGATCTGGAGTCCCAGGAAGGACACAAAGGCCGACCTTCAGTCTAACTGGAATGTTTGCTGTATTGTAGCTAGGAGTGTAAGGGGGACTGCTATGTCCAATGCTTGTGTTTTGGACACATTCAGCTTGTAGTAGGAGTTTTCCCTGTATTCTTTTATTTCTTTGAGGAGATTTGACAGAGATATCTGCGGTTGTTCTAAGGTCAGAAGGACATCATCCGCGAACAGATTTGTTTTGTTTTTGCGTTTCCCTATATTGACTCCGTGAATGTCGGCATTATCCCTGATCCTAGCGGCTAGCGGCTCCAGGGCCAGGACATATAAGAGGGGTGACAGTGGGAAACCCTGACGTACCCCATTAGTGGGATTTTATATTTTTATATTTTTGAAAGCCTAAAGATGATCTGTTTCACTTACATTGAGATTTTCTTTTGACCATATGTTGCAGCTTCCAAATGGGAATGCAACATCTGGAATCAACGCCAGACTGTATAATTCTTACACTAATATCCAAGCAATATCCCACACCTGTCCCTGAAACAGCTTTTAGTCAATTGTACAATTACTTTTGGTCCCTTGAAAAAGAGGGGGTTACATATTAAAGAGCTGTGATTCCTAAACCCTTCCTCCAATTTGAATGTGAATATTTTCAAAGTAAAGCCGAGCACTTTAAGCCCATATTCATTATTGAAATTAAACTTTCTGGACCTAACTGTAGCGTGAGGCTTTATATGCTGTAATTTCATTTTGCAAGAAAAGTGGTATAAAAAAGTGTATGCAAGTGTTTGGCATGTACACATTTTTTAAAAATTAGGTGGTTTTTAAAGGTGTGAGAATAACGTTTGGTCAGAGGATAAGGAGTTAACACATGAACCTCACTTTGCAGGTATCCTAACATGTAGAGGATAGGAAACTATTTCAGTTATTTACATGTAGGATATGATTTAGCCTAAGGTAGTATATGTGATATGCAGAACATTTAGTATGAGAAATATTACTGTTTCAGTCTGTCCATTATCTGCAAACTTCCCAACATTCACTTTTTCCACCCTTCACGCAAAATAATGAGGGAGTGTATACTCCACACAATGAAAATACATTCTGTCCATTTGGGAGTGGGAATACTTTTCCTCTCGTTATTCCCTTTAGTTTTTCTGACTAAATCTTTTTCAAGTATACTGTACATTTATACTCCAGGAATAATTACCATCTTGTAAAAGGAACACATTTGTCAACAAGGGACTCATTCCACTCATGCAATGTCTGTAAATGTCCTGAAAATGACAACTTCCCCTTCCAAACAATAAAGGAAACTTACTTCAAAGATCATCTAATAACTGCAGTTAGGGAGGGGAGGGCAGTTGGGGGGGAGAATAGTATCTCTCAAATGTCTCTAATGCCTTTTAGCATTACAGAGATTGCTATAAAACCTGCTTTTTAAAATTCCTTTTTCTAAAAATTATATAATTTAAATTCACTTTAGGGTTCTTTCAAATACCTATAACCAGGATATTGACCATTTTTATTATTCTATTTTTGTCATACCTACTATACGGAAGAACAATTCTATTTTTGCATTTAAACTAATATTTATGACTCTGTGTGAATTATTGCAAGATGAAAGATATTATGTATTGTCTAAAGCTTTTCATTCACCCAATATTTCTAGAAAGGATTACGAATAAATGAAAATTAAAAATTGTTTTAATTTGTACAATTTAATTTTTTATGTATGTAACGGACCGTTTTGCATACAAGGGTAAAAACCGTTTAGGCGATCGTCCCCTTCTCAGAGATGCAGGCACAGCTATTATAAAACACCAAACTCACGAACCGCCAATAAGGGAATGCTCCAAACTCCCGAACGCCATCCAATTAAGCACTCCAAACACACGAACTGGAACCATACGAATCGCTGCTAGCAGACGAATAGGAAAAGCATCCAAGCGGCTTACACTCCTAGCAATCAGTCTCTATCAGCGTTCAGTAAATCCCCGCAAAGAAGGGACAAGGCTCTGTGTTGAGGGTCAAGCAGTGGTCTGGTTTAATGAGGGCTACCTGCCCAGTATTTATGCCGGTCTCCCACCTGGCGGACACTCCCCTAGTGGACCAAATGGGAGACTGTGACAAAAGACAGACAAGTAGACAAATAGGACACACAGTCAGATTATATTCCCACAATGCATCCTGGCTTCCTCCCCTCTGCCTTGGAGATAATTGAGAAGTAATTCAATTATCTCCCAAGACAAAGGCAAATCGCCATTATGCACGTGGGGATACTACAACACGAATTACTATTCAAATACACTATGTGAGACACATTACAATAAAACTATACATTTAACATATCCCCAGATAGCTCAGGTCTGAGCGCACATTATTAAGCGAATGGCGCTCAGACCACACGAATACAGTGTAATCGCCATGGAGCCAAAGTCTTTACACAGTCAGTTTCTCATGCGAATGGGCTCCATGGGATTCCTATCTGGGGTATAATATATTCAAGTAAAACTACCGAACACCGGGCCGTTCGTGCACTTTCACCGAACAAGAAGGGAGGTTGGTGGCTTCAGCGGTGTTCGCGCAAAACTGTGTCCGATTTCAGTTCCATGAATTAAGCGTCGAAAACCGCTGTGCGTTCGCATGTTTAAAATGTCCGCGACCTCGTGTTCGTGATATGAATGGCGGCCACCCAGCATTCGTCAATTAAGCTGCGGTTAACGGCAGCTTCAGGGAGGCTAATTGCCGTCACACTCCAGCTCCCAGGTGGTCCAGTCATTCGTGCGGTTGTAAAGCACGAATAAATCTTTTCTGCAGGTAAAAAAGATGTCTTTTAACATGGGGCCATAGTCTAAAGGCAAAAGGCGAGCAACCAGGCTTCTCCAATGCAATGTGGCGAGATTGCTCTCGTCACAATGTATATCTGAACAGCAATCTATGCATCAAATTTATGTTTTTTTTTAAATTATATATTTAGTAGTAGACACATGTTATATCAACAATATATAACAGATTAATGAATGAAGTAGTGTACTCATTGTTTCAGAGTTTTAGGAAAAATGGTTGAATGTGCCCAGGTACAAAACACATACATGTAGACACTCATTCCCATGAAAGAAGTACAATTGACGAGTCATATACCGATATCTTATCGATAAATACCACGCCGGGAAGAGTTACAATATGTCAGAACAAAGATCTCTAGAATAAATATTAAGAAACTAGTAAAAGAAAGAAGAATGGAAAATATATTTGGAGTGAAGGCTGGAAATCCTTTCTAAATCTGGAAAGGAGACAACTGAAGAATCTCTTTACAGTTGTTAATAAAGCATTGAATACCGATTTCAAGTGCAAAAAGAAGATCCGAAATGGGTCAGACTTGGTGCATCTCATAGTGGAGAGAAAAGGGGACTTTGGTGGAACCAGGGATCATGATTCATGCTCTGGGAACAGGGGTAACCCATCCCAAACCCCAGTCCACCCCACTACACTTATTATATTAGGGTCGGTATTCAAAGTCCTTTCTCCCCCGAGGACCTGATAAGTGGTAAATGCTGATTTCAAGAGATAGGCCACAGCCACGCAGTTTTCTCCTCTCTGTGCCATCCGACAGAAGGCAATGTAAAAAGGGAAAAAAGGGAAAAACAATTAACCATGAATCAAGGTATGTACCATTTCATAACATTCAAAGGTTTGGGATCAATCTTTTCCAGGCATTTGGGAGGTGGAACCCATTGTCTATCACAGAACAACAAGTGACCGGAGGCAGGGGGAGAATGCAAATGCTTCTATACAGATTCTCTGATAATCATGGAATGTCTTTAAGAAGAGTATTCACTGATGCATGTGTAGCTAAGCGGTCTCTCCAAAACCCATGCAGTCTCTTGGCAGGTGATGGAGGGGCTGGCAATTCAAAACTTTCTCATGGCTGTAAGTGTAGGGTTATGAAAATCTCTGCAGAAGCAGATAATTTGAGAACTCTTACACTTTCAAAAGCACAGAGAAATATTCATAACTTGCCCCTCAGTTAGTCTCTGTTTAGGTCTCAAAAATGTTTTTGCTCACTTGTGCCATTACAGAGAGAATCTATATTATTAGCAGATCAGAGTTATCCCACCCATAAGGGCAGTCCATAACTGAAATGCCGGCATTTCCATCTGCACGAGAGATACATAAACCTTGGACAAATGTTTCTTTAACGGAGCTCCCTGTCCCCCGACTGGGTACCTCCACCAAAGGACTGCTTCGTAGCTGGACCAGGGGACAAACCACAGCACTTCTTGCCCTCAGTCGCCCTTGAGTGGGGCCGTGGAACTGTCACCTCCCTCCTGGAGCCGAAGGGGAAATTAGCTCTGAAAACTCCAGGCACTTGACGACACTCAGTCCTGAGAACTCTGGAACCAGATGGGGAATTAGCTCTATTCCTTTCAAGGACTTTCCCCATTGACTCTCCTGCAAGCTGGGACAGCAGACACAGGAGCAAATCTTCTTTCCCTCCAATAACTGGATGACACACAGTTTTGGAGTGTAAGGAGGAATAGCATTTTAATGGAGGCACACTGGCCTTTTATGCAAGTTTCCCAACAAGAGCGACACCCAGGTGGACCAAAGTGAACAAACCAATATAAACAGAGTCATACAGTGAGACACTCCCATAAACAAACAATAGAATCCCTCCTCTGTGCTTGGGAGATAATTGAATCAGGAACTGTACTAATCTAACCTAATTATCTCCAAGCACAGAAAAAACATACAATTTTATGAAACTCCAAAAAGTACCTTAAAAACACACAAAAAAAACATAAAAGTCACATCCCCTGATAGCCCCGATCTGGGTGAACAACATATCCAAAAATCACCCAGATCAGTTCAGGTGTTCAGGAATTTTCTGGAAGTCATAGTTTTGACCGACCGCAAGCATGGCCCCATGCCCAAAACTGTTCCAGGGAAATCAGTGCTAACAGTCAGTCAAGTTTGGTAGTCTGGGCAGGGCCCATAGTCTGTGGGCAGGAGGCTGGCGAGCAGGCTCCTCCAGGAGCTCGTGGCAAACTCACTTGGAGAGGGGAGTTTGTCACAGTTTCAGTCTTCTTTCAGCGCTGTCAGTGAGGTGTAGCTTATACCCCTCTAGACACAGTGAGCACCGGGTCCATGTCTGGATTATCCATTAGAGTTAGGAAGAGCCTAAGTAAATGCATTCCAACAAAAACAGAGAACAAGAGAATTCTGAAAAATATCCTCCAGGAGGACAGCAGTAGTGCAAGCATGCTTTCTACTTGAAACATTTAAGTGGGTGTACCCATGCATACCAGATCTGATCCCTGAGGAGGTTGTCAACTGGCTTCCAAAGCCAATACCGATGTAGGTTAGTAGGGCATCCTGGAAGATCGGTAGTATAGTGCATTGAAATTGTATGTCACCCTATTTGCTTAACTTTAGAGTAACCTTTTTGGTCTGGGAGAAATTAAACCAGACAATGATGTAATGCTGCTGTTCCCCTTCAGTTTTGCAAGGCCCTATGAACTTGTTCAATGACCCAGAACTGGTCTGGAATGTCAGAAACCAGGGCGTGGCTGTGGAGTAATCAACAATCTCGTTGTGAGACACCACAATGCGTTCCATTCTAGTCTTCAGCTCAGCCGTTTGTTGGCCTTAGTCACTGATCTCTTCTTTAATTTCTCAAGACTCCTGAGTAATTTCCTTAGATAAGAAATACATGAGGTTATGCATTTGAAACAGTATATATTCGGTGTCCTGTCTTAATTCCCTCTATGTTGCCAAGGGTGGAGGCACAATGACAGTCTTTTGCACCATCTTGTCCAAGATACTGAGGCCTGTGGGATGTGGCAAAAAGAGATGCCACAGACAAATCTTTGCCTTTTGGACACTTTTTTGTGGAGTCTATACTGTTCCCCTGGCTAAGTTTTCAACTTCAAGATACTTTAAGCATCAGAAATTGTTTTATAAGTGCAGCTAGCTTGGAGCGGCAAAGTTAAGTCGCCATTCACAAACAGCGTCCAAGCCACACCACACCACACAAAATTGCTATTTTTAAAAATCATAAATTTACATGCTTAATATGCATGTTTAAAATGCTATGCTA